ATGTTAAGAACTGAAAACAAACCATTCAAGTCAGGAGAAAGGATGCAAAACAGAGCACTGAACTGGGTAAGATTAATATTCTATTTCACATTCATTTCATCCTTCATGTGAAAGAGCAGCTGAACAATACCTTGCAAACCTCTTAGGTTCAATTTTGCTGCCACACTTACCCACACAAGGTACAAAATGCTCTTGAAGAAATAGAACACCCTTTCTGAGGCTCTTCCCTTCCCAGTATTTTGTTTACTAATCTAACAAGTGCAAAAGCCCGGGAGACCAACTTTCCTCCTGCCCACAAGCACTGTCTGTTGGCAATATCTTTGAGCACAGCAGGGGTTTAATAATCTTTCTTTTTCAAAATGACTTACAAGTGGATTTCACAAGAAATGAAAATGTTAGTGATATATTTGGATTGCCCTGCTGGCTGAGATCACACTGAAATAAAAGCAGAGTCACAAGGGTCAATATTTCTCATGCACAGAACTTCCTGCCCAGAGCAGATGCTTGAGCTGCTGCTACTGAGTTAGTCCTGCTCCTCTGACCCCGAGGAACGGAGCTGAGAGCTGCATTTGGGTTCACCACAACCCTTCTGTGATGTGCACACTGTGCCTGCACCAGAGGCACCTCGGAGGGCTCCTGGAGGAGCATATTTGAGATACTGAAATAACTCCTTGTTTTTCCAGACACTGGGCACTAGAAAAGGCTGAGAGAGCTGGGGAGGGGCTGGATCTGGGGAGCAGAAGGATCTGAGGAGACCATGAAAAACAAAGCTGTGAGCAGGGGGAGACTTCAGAAGCTCTCAAAGTATTTGAATCAGGAGTTTTTTCTTTCTAAGTCAGTGAAGGATAGCTCATGTGCATTTTACGTATGTTTTAATATAACCCAGATTCTGAAAGCAATTCTGATTGTTTAGTTTTCAAGTGACCAGAGCCTGTCTGCACCTGGAACTCACACCTGTTACCTTCCCAAAAACCTTCTCTATTGCTTTATCTTCATGGCCAAGAAAACCTCTAAGTTGCTCACAGAGAATTTTTTAAGCATTGAATTCTCTGAGTTTTGCTGTCAAAGAGACCACTTAATTTCCAGTGCAATAATTCAATTTAGGAACACAAAAGCTGATTCAAATACATTTTACAGATATTTTATACATGTTTGTGTGCATTTGGATTATGGCAGATTTATTGCTATGGACTTTTAGATAAAGAAGGAAGAAATAAACAAAATATATAAAACCAAAATATTAGAAGTGTTTCTTCTAGCTCTCCTTCATTTATGTGAAAACATACGATTAGGGCAGTTCTGATATAAATAAAGATATGAGATTTATTTTTGCAAGCAGCCATGGCTCTTCTCATGAGTGGCAGACACACAAGTGATGTCAGTGTGTATGACTAACAACTAAAAATACAGCAGGTATTTTTGTACAGGCTACGTAATATCCTATTAATACAAGACCATTTTGTTTAGTTTACATTTTCTTTGAACCTTGCCCATTCACAGATTTCTCTGAGCGGTTTCCTTGTATCACACAGTGTGAACTATTGTCACTCATACACTTCTACCAGTTTTAGAAAGAAAAAAAAAACAACAAACCCTGCTTCCTCTCCATCTGATGAAAACACTTTTCATCAAGAGTTTAGGAATTCATCCCTCTCCGTGACCCTTCTAATTCTGTCAAGTTAAAAAAGAAAATCCATAAAAACATTTCCCAAGTAATCCCTTTCTCTAATATGTTGTTCTGGGTTTTTATCCCTGCAATAAATGCCTTGCTACATCTTTGCTGTGATTAGTCTCATGGGATGTACTCGTGATGTGCATCTCCCTGGGGTCAGGCTGCACACGGGGCACAATCCCACAGCCACTGCCAGGCCACGTTTGGACTCCCCAGAGCAATCCAAGAGCCAAGACCTGGGCATCAGTGTCTTACACAGAACAGTGCAGTCACCAAGCTGGCAGAGGAGAGGGCCAAGACAAAGCTTTTCCATTTCTCAGTGAGGCTAAGATGCTTCCAGAGTGAAGGAAAAATAGGATTCCATGGGGTTTAATATTCTCCCATTTCCTCCAAACACTGCACAGAGCAAATTGCCAAACCCCAAACAGCCTGACTGGGCCATGGCCTTGCTTAGTCTGTAAAAGACAGAATATACATCCAGTACCAAGAATTCCTGCTCAGAAAGAGGAAAAAAAGCAGGATCTCCTTATAGTCAGCAGTTCTGGCACTCCCACAGCCCTGAGGACTCTGAGTTCTACTGCCTGTGCTTTTGGAGGATGGAGAGGGAGCCCATCCTGCTCACATGAAGTAATTTTTTTTAAACATCACAGAATCCTGGAATAGTTTAGGTTGGAAGGGACCTTCAAGATCATCTTGTTCCAGCCTTCTCTCAATGAAAGGGACACCTTCCACTATCCCAGATTGCTCCAAGCTCTGTCCAACCAGGATTTGGACACTTTTAGGGATGGGGCAGCCACAGCTTCTCTGGGTCACCTGTGCCAGGACTCCACCCCCTCCAAGGGAAGACTTTCTTCCTCAAATCTAGTCTAAATCTACCATCTTTCAGTTCAAAGCCATTGCTCCTTGTCCTATCACTACACTTATTTTCTAGCAATAATTACATTTTGACTGAAACAGGGACGAGAGTCCAGATTTAATTGGACCTGGATTTTTGGCACAAAAATTTTGAGCAGCTTCTTCAATACTGTTATACAACAGAGACCTCTTTAAAGCACCACTGTCTTTTCCCTGCATTCTTTGTTCTCTCCATGACCTTGCTGTGTTCATTCTGACATATTTTTTGCTGCAGCTGAGGAACCATTGACATGGTAACACAAAATAGGATTTGATCTTTTTCTGGAAGTTTTCCCTTTGATAGCTCTGGGAGCCTGTCACACACTGTTCCAGCCCTGCCATACAAACAGCCTTAAATTACATTTCACAGGGTTTCATCCTTGGGAGTAACACTGACAATCCCTATGTACACTTTTCTTTTCCCAAACCTTCTCCAAAAGCAGGCTGACATGTATAGAAACCTCACCAGACCTTGCTGCAGCAAAGTTCTCTAAAATGCTTTAAAACCAATGGACCTGGAAAAATTCTGCCAGATTTCAATTCAACATACAAATCAGACTCTTGAAGCTGAAAAAATAATCCCTGAAGGAATTATTTGATGTGGGATGGGCACATCCCCCTTTTAATGACAGCAATAATTAATGTGTTAATTTCAATAAACTGATATTTTCCCCACAAAGAAAAAACCCCAGCCATAATTCCATTTTTTATTTCAGCATTTAGAGTGTTCCCCCCAAAATCTCTGGTCTCACATTTAGACTACACCATTATATGAAAATATGAAAAGTGGACTAATTCCTCCCTGCAATGTTTTCCAGTGACTGTCATAAAAATTTAGAACCAAGGGCTCCTGAAATAATTTTTCAACAACATTAAACACTTCATTGAAATTTAAATTCTTTATTCTGAGATTATTTTTGCATATAATAGTCTCAAAATCTAAAGTAAACCACCTGCCAGATAGTGAAAGCCTCTACAATATTCAGTATTCCAGGCAACCTGTTGCAGTGTCCCCTCTTTTGCCAGGAAACACAATTTCTGTCTTGTCTTTTCCCAGAACTGCCCAGACTTGTCTTATTCTGGTGAGAAGAATCTGTGTTGTTGATATTCCATCCTCTACATAAACAGAATATTCCTGCATCCTTAAATCCAACAGGACAATCAAACATCTGTGTCCAACACCTGCCTTGGGACAGCCACTCACTCCTTGTCCATTGACACCTGCCAGACGTCTGTGAACACCGAGTGGACAAAGTTATTTATTTCATCCTAGTTCTTGTGCACCATGAGATCATAGTCACTGCTTCCTACCTGATCAGGGAACAACCTTGAGAACTGCAAAATTATCTTTTCAGCCCTACAGACTCTAAGTTTAACCTTCTTCCTTCGTCCTTGCATTTAAAATTAACTTTGCATGTTTTACCTTTAAGTGCAGCACCCTTCAGATTTCTGTCCTACACCTTCTGAGGGCTGGAGTCAACAAAAATTATTATTAAATAACTGAAATTATTATTAAACCCACAAACGCTTCAGAATCAGTACATCCAAAAATAAAAATGCAAAAATACCTTCTAATGGCTCCCTATTTTTTTCCCAGCTACTGTTTGCAGGCTCAAGGGAGGAGGCATTTGAAGTCTTCCTTTGTGAGATAAGTAGTTCCCTTCCACAGAAAATTTGCAGCTGCTTAACACTTTTATTTAGGACACTGAATTTATTCCCTTTTGTTTGCTTTCCATAACTGTTGTTTGATTTGTATGGGTCCAACACAAAGTGTCTTTTATTCTTTTTTACCTGGATGTGCAAAACCAGAGCCTCACACCTCACTCTGTGGAAGGTGAGTCCTGTACACCCTATCTCCCATTTTTTCAGCTGTATCTGGATGGATTTACTGCCTTAGAAGCAATAACAAAGCTTGGCCTTGATTTAAACCTGGTCTTAGCAGGGAAGTGCAGCAGTGAACAGAAATTTCACATGCACCACCACGCTTCCTCCAAAATTATATTTACAGAAGGTTCTCCCTTCCCACTTATCCCAAGTCCCATGAAGAGACATTTTCTACTTAACCAATTGAATGTTCCTTGAGGAAAGGGTCGGAATCAGAGCTGACCTTACCCCGTTCCCTTCCTGAGCTGTTGAGATAGATGACATATTTACACCCCTGAAAGCCCTGAGTGGTGCCTCTGGAATGGCTCCAGCAGCAAATTCTGAGTAAGAGACAATGGTGCTATTACTGCACAGAGCTGTGAGTTGTGGCAGCACTTTGAAGTCAGTTAAAGTGGCAGCTAAATATGCATTGGTTACAAAACAGAGCCAGGAGCAAAATACCCTGCAAAGCAACAAGTGCATAAAAGGACTTTCACCATACAGATTATTTTAACATAAAATTCCCACCTAGCAGGAGAAGAGGTTTATTCCAAATGAATTAGGTGCTCACCTTTGACTCTATCTCCTTTGTGCAGGTGAATTTCCCCTTCCCCTTGAGGTTGATATGGCTTTACTACGATAAAAAGTCTCCCAGGGACAGCACTGTAGAGCTTCCTTTTGGGACCCTGATAATCCAAGGCAGACAGAGTATCCTTGTTGGCACTGGGACTGTAAATGGCACTGGAAATTGAAATGAAAAATCATTAACAGCTTATTCAAAAGGAGAAAGTTAATAATTTACCATCACATTAGCAGAATTAAATTAAGCAGTGAATAACAAAACTGTCTTCCAGTAAGACATCTAACCCTGCAGAAAAAATACCAAACAGGAGCTTGTAAGGGTTGAAATCTTTCAGTTTGAAACTTGATCAATATTCACCTGCCCATAATGGCCTAGAACAGAAAACACACAACATTAAAGCTTTTAGTGTTCTGCAAATTAAACTTGCACATTCCCAGACCCTGATTAAACTCAAAATTTATATGGCCATCATACATTCTCAGCATGTCAATTTGTCAGAGGGACTTGAAAACGTCTGTATTTACAATTCTTGGGAATGAATATCTTTGTAACATGGAGTGAACAAGTGAGATCATTGAATTATTAACTAAATGGACTGAATAATCAAGTTACTTCATCACTCCAAGGTTAAATTTAGATCTGCACAAAGCACGGTGCTTGTGGTTAACATTTTCCAAATGATCATTTCTTCTGGATGGCAATCACCAGCTCACTCAGTGACTCCAGAATGTGCCCAGGAAGCCACGGGTCACCACCAACTCACAGTCTACTCATGGTGTATAAAAAAGGAATTGTTGAAAGGTGGTGAACAATGCGTAAGATTGCTCTTAAACCTGTGGGAAAATGAGTGAACTGTCAAAAAGAGATGAAAAGCAAAAGAGGCAAATGTCAAAGAAGGTGGGAAACCTATAGGATATATAATAACAGACTTGTAATACACTAGCAGTCAACTGTAAAAAAAAACCCGAAGTATAAAAAACTTGCAGGCTTAACCAAAGCCTAGAAAAGGGAAATATTCATGAGAAGGAATAATATTAAAGAGATTGATAGGGAAAAGTTAGGCTACCAAAGGAAGAAAGGTGATTTAGTGGTGGTTTAGCATTGTAATACCCTGCTTGCCTTCGTGTAAGAAAGTCTCTCAAACTGCTTTAAGCAAAATTAAATGCAAGGGGTAGGGTCTGCTGGTTTTCACTTTTTTCTTTTTTTAGCCAGTCTCCTATGAAAATGGGACCCAGCAAGTCAATAGGTACAGAAGTCTGGTAAAAACTCACACCTAGTGGATCTTTCCTATCGGGAACAATCCCATTTTCCTGCAGTAACTTCTTCACAATTTGGAACTGCATGCCCCTTTCACCTTGTTCTGGTCTATTACTGTGAAGGGTGCTGCTAATGGTAAGCCACAGCTTAGGTAAGCTCAGGAGTTTAAAGGCAAGCTCTGGTTGCATGTCTGTGATGGAGTTTGCACCAGAAATCTCAGCCAACTCTCAGTTGTTTAAAGAAAGCCTGGAAAAGATGACATTCAGATTTCAGTTCTTTTGCTCCATTCCTTTTTCCTTGTAAGTGAAGGAACAGTCATCACCATAAAAAAAAAAAAAAAAAATCCAGATCTATAAACTATAGCTACACATCTGATTTCCACTTGTATCAAGCTGTGTTTCTGCCTAGTCTGGTGGCAACTATTCCCAGTGTTATCTCCCAGCATCTACTTTAACTGCAGCACAGAAGCTACATTCATTTTCTCTCTCACTGAAAGAGAAAAGGGAAATGGCACATTAAACCCACACAAGGAATGCAGAACTTCTCAGGCAACAGGCTCACTAATGGAAATCAGGGCTGCTACGTGGGGTGCAGGACTTCTTAAAAAGAGATCTTTCCTCTCCCTTGCTTGTGCCCAGCGTGGGCTCCAAGCCCAGCAAGTGCCATGCCAGGAAGGAGCAGCAGGAGGATGTGGAGACATGTTTCCCTCTCAGCCAGAAGAAGCTGGCCATCCTTGGCAGCTCAGCCCTGACTGAGGCTGTGTTGGCACCTCCTTCCCTCATTTCTGTGGGGTAAGGTCCACATGAAGGCTGTCCCTTCCCTTTCATTCCCAGCTCCATCCCCCAAACACTTTGCTGTGGAAAGCAACAGCCTCATGAGAATCAAGAACAGTTTGGTTGGAGGGAACCTTTAAGACCATCCAGATCCTGTCAGGGGCAGGGACACCTTCCACTGGACCAGGCTCTTCCAGCCTGGCCTTGGGCACTTCCAGGGATGGGGCAGCCACAGCTTCTCTGGGAAGTCTGTTCCAGTGACTTGCCACCCTCTCAGGAAAGAATTTCTTCCTAATATCCAATCTAAATCTCTCCTCTTTCAGTTTGAGAAGACAGAACACCTGAGCCACACGGGCTGCAAAGGTCACACGAACCCCTTCCAGCATCGCTTTCCAGCACCTCTCCCCAACACAAATCCCACAAACTTCATTAACCCTTTGTCACAGTCTGACCTTCTCCATCACCCTGCCCCTTCTGGCTGCTTCTGCTCCACAGTCCAACCTCCTGCTCTTTCAAAAAGAGCTTTTCCATCTCAGGGGAGCAACAGCTTCATGGTGACTCTTATTATTTGCAAATAATAAGTTGAGACAGCAACAATTCCCACATTTTGCTGACAGTAAGTAGGTGGTCACGTAGTTAAACAAAATCTGTGAGAAAAGTGTCACATAAGGTGTCATTCCTGATTGCAAAATGGGCCTGTGGCAAGAAAAGGCATTAATTGCAGGAAAAATTATGTATAAAATCCTTTTAGTTGTCTTTAAATTTAGAGAGCCTCCAGCTCTCTTCTCAGCCCTTGCACGTACTCTGGACTTCTCTGAAACAAGTCTTGGTGGCACACTGCAGCTGGGTAGCAGTTTCAGTAGCTGTAATGCTGATGCACTAAGACCAAAATTTCATATCCACTAACTCTCAGGCATTAAATTGGTTCCCACTATCACCCGAGCGACTTTTCAGAAAGGGAAGAGGAAAGCGGCTGAATGAAGTCAAAGCAAGTAAATGTTTGCTCAGTCAAAAAAAAAAGTTTTTAATTGTTACCCCCAGCTCAAAGCATTGTTTATACTTGTAGAATCTGAAGTGTGTTTTCCCAGGAACATTGATGAAAAGGCACTTTTTATCCCATTCAGCTAAAATAATCACTGACAAGATAGAACCTCCCTCTCTGGTGGCATCAGAAGAATACAGTGGAACACTGAACACTCATTCTCTGGAAAGAACCTTACATCCTCTTCACTTCAACTCCTCATCCAGGTGAAGCCTCATTATAGACTGATCTTAAGCTGATACTGGGCTCTATGAGGAAATGCCACCCAAATTATACCCAAATGAGCTTTTGCCAATATTGTAGCATACAACAAAGCAAGATGAGCTTCCACTGGCATATGGAATCTGTATCCCTTTCCTTCCTTCCTTTTAATTTCTCTCCTTCTTACATTCCAGACAACTTTGTCTCACAATTCACCAGATCTTCCCTGTCTAGAAGTATTGCTTCCATCACAAACAGTGCCTGGCAGTTTGGGTGCCTAGGGCAAGGGAGAGCAGAGGAACAGGCAAGGTAACAGAGGAAGTGTCAGCTACATGACATTTTGTTTTACTGACTTGAAACTCCACTGAACATCCCTTAAACCTACAAACAGCAAAAAACCAATTGCTGCATTTCTTGATAATGCCCAGGTCCTCTTCTACTCTGAACAGCATACATATGTATATATACACACACACATACATTAGGAAACAGGACAGATGACTGATTTTCAAATGAGTAGTGAGTTAAATGTGTTTTGGCTCTTGTTCTCTCCAGCAGCTCTCAGCTCTGATGCCTCCCAGCCTTTTTTGTAGCACTTTGACTCCTTGTCCTGGTGTAGCTCCATCTCCTTCACATTTTGCAGGAGTTCCAGAGCAGTGGCTTCTCAAAGCTGCAGCCCCCATATGTGACGAAAACTTAGCCCCAGCCCTCCACTTTATTCCATGGCTTACAATACCTACATGACTCTGATTAGTCAGGATTTGCTCTCCAGTGGGACAGAGCTGCAGAATATTTGCCCAGAATGCCTGCTAGATCACATCACTCCCTCTATTTCACTCTTTGGCTCAGCACACACCTACAGAAGAGAGAACTTAAACAGCCCCTGCTCCATCACCCATGAGCAGCCCCAGCACAGGTTCCAGGCATGACCAATGGTTCCATGAAGGGACCAGGTATCCCAGAAACAGTTGGCTTTGCTATTAAATACAATCCTTATTTCAACTATGGGAAGATGTGCAGAGCCAGCACCTTGAGCTGGAGGTGCAAACTCTGTGTTAAGTCACTGCTGAACTTGAAAGGCTTGAAAGGCTGCTGGAGCTGTGTGAGGAAACAGCTGGCTTTGGTGCTTCCAATTAAAATATTCACACTTGGGCATGGTCCACTGTGCTGAGAATGAATAACTATACATTCTAGAGAGTGCAAATAACATAAAGGAATGTGGCAGGCCAGCATGGTGCCTTTAGGGGTACCTCGTGCTGTGAAACAGCCCAAACTCACCTGATGTGCCTGTGCTGCTGCCTCTTGGCATCCTCTCCCAGCCTGTTGAGGGACGGCGAGCGGCTCCGGGAGGACGGAGTGTAACTCCCCACAGTTTTTACAGTTCCATTGGGATTACTCTGCATCTGTTGGAGCAGGTGAGGGGAAAGGCTGCGGTGTGAAGAGGCAGAGGAGGAGGCTGACCACTCGGGGAGGTTGTTGATGTTCAGGTTGTTGTCGCTGTTGGAGCGGAGCAGGATCCGGGGGGCTGCCAAGGTGCTGGGAGGTCTCCTCCTCCTGTTGGAGTAGGTGGGAGCCTCCCTAAAGGGCACTGTGAAAGAGAGACGTGGAGGGTGAGCTCAGATGATTTCACATTCATGTGTGTTTACCACCACATACAACATATGGCATTGTTTCTTCTGCAGAGACAGAAACTCTACCTTGCCAGCAGAGCTGATCAAATTATCTTCAGAACATCATTAACATTAAATCAAAAACAACAGAGCAACATTAACCTGTTTGCTGGCTTGAATACACGGTGAAGCAATACCAGTGCCATGAGCCTGCTCAACACTTTGAACTGTGCTCTAGGAAATGGGGAACACCTCATTATTGCCAGGTTTGAGGCTCAGAAAGTTCATTTTCCTGCTGTGTTGTCACATTCAGTCAGAAAGGCACAGAACAGAATTCCTGACGCATGGACTTGGCAGTTTCCATCCCCCAGCTGGCATGGAAACTGGTCCACCTCAAGTTGATGCCTAACCTGAAATCTGTGAACAGTCACCTTATCCCCACCTTGCAGGTTAAAAATCGAGGACACGGCTTCCTGTCCTGGCAGAACTCTATTACACTGCTGCAATCCCCAGGCATTCCCCTCTTTCTAATCCTGGCCTTGCTACCACATCCATCACTGTGCTATGTGGAGCAGATTACCCCAGGGTAATACCTGGGCTCCATCACGTGCCACAGGAGCACCATGAGGGAACACCATGGTATCCAAAGGCTCCAAGAAACTCCTTAATGAAACAGCCACAGCACAAAACAAAGCAAGGGCAACACAAATCGAACTCAGAGCAGAGGGTCCAGCCCTTCAAATGAATTCTGGGTACACACCAGCATTCACACAATTTTCCAGATCTCCTTTTCCCACTCTAGTGGGTCAGTTTGTCCCAAGTGCAACTTAGAAGGCAAATTCCCTAATAAAAAAGCACCCAGTTATCACCAGACGTGTGGAATTTCCTGCCCTGTCATAAAGGAATTGACCCCAAAACCTCAGGCTGGCCTTGATCCCCATTATTGCAGCTGCCCTCATTAATTTCTCTCGGTGGAGCTCGTGGGGGTCACAGGAGCTGAGCCAAAGTGCACGGATTTACATCCGAAAAGTCACAGTGGCATAACTAACAAAAGGCAGCCAGGCATTATTCTGAGGGCTTCACTGAGCTGGTGTAGCTCTCAAAGAAAAAAAATCATATTTAAATTGGGAAAGAAGTCCCACAAAATATCATCCTACATGTCTAAAGTGCCAGTAAGTGCCATTTATAAAGAGCCAGAAATGTCTACTCATTCAATACCCTTCAAAACCACTCAAAAAACAGAATAAGAATGTCTGTCATACTGTGCAAGTAAATAAATTCACATAAATATGAATATAGTCAGGAATCAATCTGTCCTGCCTTGAAATAGAGCCTTTAATTGAGAGAACAAAGCAAAATTTAAGGTTTCTATGCAAAACTGAGAGCATATTTATAGCATAAAATAGAGATGGAACTGCGAGTAAAAGAATGGTTTGTATCATTTTCACCAGAGTCAGTTTATGATTAGCTACAATTCTGAATATTTTACAATAATATCCTTTGTATTTCCAGTGAGCTGAAACTTTCTCTAGTAAACAACTCGACAACATCAGAACAACCAAACACGGGAACAGCGTGCACAGAAAGGGCTTCAACTCATTTCCATGTTTCCTTTGAAATAAGGGAAATAGCCTTGAAAAGCTGTTAAAGGGGAGAAAGCACAGAAGTCCAGTGCTTATGCTAGAAACTGGCAGAAACTCAGGATAATCCTCCTGACATTTCAAGTTTTTTCCCATTCCATATTTCTTTAAGGTTTCAAAGCAGCCGAGGGTGTCATGAGAGCACCTTGGTGCTTCAGATGTCACAGTGAAAGCCCCAGTTAGTGCTAACTTACAGCAAACTCACAGCATTTATCTCCAAAACTGGCACACACAGACCTTTAGGTCGATGTGTGGGGCAGAGATGCAACATTTCTGCATTCCTTTATTTTTGACATTTGGAATACAGTTCTAGAAATGACTTCATTGAAGATGGGGATCTTTCCCAGGTACAACAAAGCAGAAATCAGTCAAGGAGAAAACACACAAACTGAATACAGGGGATGTTTGGCACACTCAGGTTTGCTGCCTGAAAGTCTAACGCTGCTCCCCCAGGTCACCAAAGTTCGCCTTGCATTCAGTAAAAATTGGGTCTGACTCTCAGATTTTAATTTCTCGTGAACCTGGAAGCAGCCTGCCCAGCCCTTCCAGCCACAGGCTGAGAAAACGAAATCTTGCCAGTGTTTTGGGGATGTTTACTGGGACTCTGGAGAGGCTGGTGGGATCTCTGCTGGTTGGGAGGGAGGACAGGGACAGGGTGCCAGGGCACGGGGACAGCACGGACAGAGAGCTGCAGGGCACATCTGGACTGACAGACTGGAGAAACCACCCTCCAGGCACCAGAGGAAAGGAATTTTTTTTCCCTTATGCACCTCAGGAGCATTTTACAAGCCCATTTAAGAGTTCAGCTTTTGTTTTCTTATTAATGTTCTATTCTTGAGGAGAGAACTACGAGCAAAATTTGCCTTTACTACAGGAAATAAACAGGGAAAGGGACAACTAATGACACCAATTGATGCATGTCTAACACAAATCTTTTATAGAAAGAGTTAAAAATAAGCATTTCTGTGCCTGAAGTGATTAATATTCCACCCAACTGTTTCTTTTCCCCAGCAATCTGCAAACTGTAAGTGGGTGGATATTTTTTTAGCTACTTCTTATCAGCATTATTTATATTATTTTCACAATTAAAAAAACAGAACTACAACACAAAATTATGAAATGCAAATGTCCATGCTTTAGTCCCGGTTAGACTCTGCTTTCCCCTAATATTTCACCACATTTCAGAACTGCAAGAATAACTGTGGCAAAACTTGTTTGGAGACAAACACTTGATATAAAATGACATGAAAATGCCTGAACTAATTCCATGCCCCAAAAGTTTAAATTTACCATCCCTAAAAGCACACTTGAAAGTACCACATAATCCTTCCTCCAGCTCTCTGAATTCTATTCCTGGCACTTCATACATCTGAAGGGGCAATTCAGCACCATTCACTGACAAAATTCACCTAGGAAAATCCTTCCCTGTCTCCAAATGCATTTCTTAGGGAACAAAAACATTTTTACAACTACTTGATTCTTCAGAGAAAATCCTGAAAGGAATAAAGTCACATCCAGCTTTAATAACCACTTGCTTAAATGAACTGTCTAACATCAAATGATTTTGAAAAAGAAATTGCAGGAATTGATTAATTATAGAGTCACTAAGCCCATCATATTAAATGTACACAAGAAAACACCAGTCTGAAACATCAAAGTGTTCTGCTTTCATCGCTTACCTTCTTTCTTTGTGAAGGCATTTAACAAAGACTTCATTTTCCCTTTTTACTTTAGCAGCAATCCCCTCATTATATAACCTTTGCAGGGAAGAAAGAGGCAAAAAAGATAAAAAGAAATAAAAAATAATAATAATATTTAAAAAAAAATATACCCAAACAATCAAGCTACCCAATTTCTATGTGTTCAGGCTGGCTGCACCCTGACATAAGCAGCAGGTTTCTGGGCACTGTGGAATTGCGAGCATAACTGGGCATGCAGTACCCAGCGTTCTGGTGACAAAGCCCACCCCACATTCTGTCTGTCAGCTGGGAGCCAACTGTGCACAGACTGGAGCTGCTCAAAAAAAAAAAAAAAAAAAAAAAAAAAAAAAAAAAAAAAAAAAAAAAAAAAAAGCGCTCCGCTCCTGCTATCTCTCCCAGCATTAGTCATGTGAACCTGCCGCCGCCACAGCCCCGCAGAGCAGGCGCTGCTCCGCTCCCCAGCCCGGCTGCGGGGCTCCGGGAGCTGCGGGGACTGCGGGGAACCGTGGGGAGCTGGGGGAGATGGGGAGCCCCGGGAGCTGGGGGGAGCTGGGGGAGATGGGGAGCCCCGGGAGCTGGGGGAGATGGGGAGCCCCGGGAGCCCCGGGGAGCTGGGGGAAATGGGGAGCCCCGGGAGCCCCGGGAGCTGCGGGGAGCTGGGGAGCTGCGGGGCTCCGGGAATTGCGGGGAGCCCCGGGAGCTGCGGGGAGCTGCGGGGAGCCCCGGGGAGCTGCGGGGCTCCGGGAATTGCGGGGAGCCCCGGGGAGCTGCGGGGCTCCGGGGAGCCCCGGTTTGCTGCGGGGCTCCGGGGCCAGAATTCCCATTTGCCGGGCGGGAGAGGCTCCGGAGCAGCTGCGGCTCGCAGGGAAAGCCCGGCCGGGGCTGGCAGCTGCCGGGGACCTGCCCTGGGCTCTCCTCTTGCACAGCTGCCTCTCGCTGAGCACAGCACCCCGCTGTTTATTCGCTTGTTGCTATTTATTTGCTTGTTGCTGTTTACTCACTATTTGCTATTTATCTCCTTTCCCCCATTTATTTCATTTTATCTATTTCTTCCCCATTGATTTCCCCTTCTGCGCTTCACTTTTTGCTATTTATTCCCTTTTCCCTTTTTATTTATTTATTTATTCCGAAGGACCAATCTGAGGAGAAGCACAAATCGCCCCAAGCTTCACACAATGACCACGTTAAGGATGGAGCCGAACCTGCCACTTCTCAGAATCTCTCACCTATATTCCTATATTCCAGTTTGAACCAGAGGGGATGATACAAGCACGATTATTCTCCCTTCCCCTTCCATCGCACTGGAATAAAAGAGAATTTCCCTTTGGACAGAGGAAGAATACAAAAAAAAAAACCCTGACCAAGCTCGTTTGGTAAATTCGATGCAGGTACCAGGAAATACAAGATGTAACCAAAGAAGTTTGGAAAGTCCTAATTCTGAATAAAACAGAAATCCAGGGATAACTATGCTTGGCAGTGCAAACATGCTTCCAGAGGAAGAGCAAAGAACAGAAACAGGCACATAGGAAGGAGGGGGAGGTGCTAAAAACCACAAAAAATTTAAGCAGATCTACTTAAATCTAAGATACAAAGATTCCAAAGGATAGGAAATTCACAGTCTAATAAAAAATGAGTAAA